TGGGGATTATTTGACCAGTGATTCCCCCTTTATTAAGGTTGAATAATAATAAACAAATAAAAATATTTTTAAGACTTATTTATTTATTTATTTATTTAGCATACAATGTACTGCTGGCAAGGAAGGCACCAGGTCTCATTACAGATGGTTGTGAACCACCATGTGGTTTCTGGGAATTGAACTCAGGACCTCTGGAAGAGCAGCCAGTGCTCTTACCCTCTGAGCCATCTCTCCAGTCCATAAAAATATTTTTTAAAAAAATAGTAAAATTCCCCATCAGATTTTACTAATCTACTCGCGTGTCAACAAGCCATTAACGCTGTCCCTGTATTTTGGCCACTGTGAATAATGTTGCGGCACACAAGGCAGTGGGAAAGATGCTTCCAAATCTGGCTTATTGGCTTTGGCTGCAGGCCCAGCAGAACTGCTTGCCGCTTGATTTATCTTTGAGGAACCTCCATGCTATCCGTACCCCCGTGACAATGAATAAGAGTCCTCATTTCGTCACACCCTCAAACTTCCCTCTTGATTTCTTTGATAATGGCCATCCCTGCAGGTACAAGCTGACATTTCACTGTGGTTTTGGTTTGTAGCTTCCTGTCCTTAGTGAAGTTTTACTCTTTTTCACATCCCCGTTGGCCATTTATAGGTTTCTACGGTATAAATGTGGTTTGTCTCCAACACTCATGCGGAAGGGATTGCCATTGGAAGGTGGGGCCTCATGGGAGATGTTTGGCCATAGGGGTTGGGAATGGATCAATGCCTCTCTGGGGCGGGGAGACAGGATCTACTCTCATAGGCATCTGCCCCCACTCGCAGACTGTGTCGCAAGCTAGGATGTTTAGTAAGCCCCATAGACTCAATGCGTTTGACTTGCGATGTTTCCTGCCCAGGCTGGGTTACTGGGCCAGAACCACACAGTGCGGAATGGCTGCATATTCCCACAGTCTCAAAGGAAATAAGTCCATCAGCTCTGATTTGGGTGGCAATATCCTCCTGTCTGCTTTCTCTCTCTTATACCGTGATCTCATTTAGCTTTACTTCTTTTGTTTTTGAGACAAGATCTCACTACATAGCCCAGGCTTACTTCAAACTCACAATCCTCCCGCCTTGGCCTCGCTAGCATTGCTAGTATGAGCTACCCCGACAGGCTTCAAATTATACTTTTTCACTTCTTGTTTGGAGGTTTCCTGAGATGTCTGTAAATTCTTGACTGTCTGCTCAGATTTAAGACTAAAGCAGAAATAAGCCACTTCAGCGTTAGCCCTGTGAAGCAGGACAAGGGACTTAAAGGGATCAAGCCGGATGACCTCTGGGAATGACTTGGTGTCGATCTTTTTAGATCTTTTCTCTCGGGAACACTGGCAAGTGTTCTGGAAGATGTTCTTTCAGTCTTCTACTTGGAGTTGTAATTATAGCCAGGCTCTGTTAAGTACTCCAGGCTCTCTTTGAACTTATAGAAATGCTCCTGCCTCGGCCTCTCAAGTCCTAGGATTATAGCCACAAGCCCCAACTTATAAGTGCTTCCTGCGTCTACCTGGGCCTGGAATCTTCCAAACTAATGACCTTCATCTTAGCCTTTCAGGAAGTCCTGTTTCTCCGCTATTCCTTTGGGTATCTCCTCCTGCGTCTCCATTTCCTTCTTTTTCAGTTCCCAGTGATAAGCTTTTGAACTTCTTCACCATTGTCCTTTCCCATCCTCTTCATTCCCCCCAATTAGTCACTCTGCAAGGCATCGAGGCAATTTCTGCTATGGTCTTTCTGCTCCTCGCTCCAGCTGACTAAGTTTTGGTTTCCAGTAATCACGTTTCTAATTCCCAAGACGTCTGACTTTGTCTGATCACAGCTGTGGGAACGCCCAGGTCTGTCGGCCCTTCTGTTCCTTCAGGTATGAATGCATGAAAACTGGGTGCCTTTTCTCCCACGAGATGCATGTTCCTCAAATGCTGGCCTTCTCTTGATTGTGAGCTTACTCTCACATCTGAGGTAGATCCCTTGTTAGCCTCAGTAGCCTCCTTGAAAGACGGGAGGTGCCAGCATGTAGCTATGGTGTGTACAGTGCTTGGCTGTTTCTTTTCCAGTTGCCCTTTCAGATGCAACAAACAAGTATCTTTTCTTTCAAAGTGTGCCCCACTTCCTCCCTTTCCAAACCACAAAGGTTGTTTTTCAGTTTCTGTCTGGCTCTAAGCCACCATTTCCTGACCCTACTTCCTCCTTACTCACACACACACACACACACACACACACATACACACACACACACAAGAAAACTCGGGCTTTAATTTTTTTTCTTTCTCATCTTACCTCGATGCTCTGATTAGCAACTCAGGTTTGGATTCTGTGCTTGGTCCTCGATCCCTGAGGGACAATCCAGCTTCTCTTTTACATCAGGGATAAAACCAGGAGGACTCCGCCATCCCTGTGCGTGGGCCACCGCTTTTGTGGGTAACAACTCTTGTGCTGAAGTAAGGATGCGAACAGAACACTAATTTTAATTACAGTGGTGGCCTCTTTCTTTGTGACCTCAGAAATATTCTAACTCTCTGATAAAATACCCTAACCAAAGCAACTTAGGGGAGAAAGGGCTCGATGTAGCCCACAGTTCTGGGTTATAGGCCATCATTTCCGGGAGGTCACAGAGGCACAGCAGGTTAAAACGTGCCCGTAGTGGGGAAGCAGACAACTGGATGACTTGCTGGAGGCTCCCTCTCCTTTTCAGTCTAGGAGCTTGAAATAGCGACACACCCACCCCCCTCGCCCATTCAAGATGGGTTCCCAACGCAGTTAACCCAATCAGGAAAATTCCTCACAGGCCAACCCGATGTAGACACTCCCTCACTGAGACTCCCTTCCCAGGCAGCGATTCCAGTTTCTGCAAGCTGATGACTGAAACCAGCCATCACAGTGGTTGCTGGGCGAAGGAAGCTGTGCTCAGCTTTGGGGATGCAGAGGCTTCCTGTCTCTGAGCTGCAATCATCAGGTTGCCGGCTTTGCCTCGCTTCTCTGAGCCAAGTTTACCCCGGGGCTCCTGCCCCCAGGCAGATCCTCCATGACTCACTGTTTGGCCAGAGGTTCGGATCTCTGACCTCCTCTGGCCACCAGCTTTTAAAACTGGGGGTGAAGAGCTCTTGAAGCTCTTCCTCTTGGCAGGAACCCCCTCATCCACAGTCAGCAAACTCACTGCTTCAGTAAGTAGACTTGGGTGGGGTCATTTCTTGGGTCCATCGTCAGTGCCTTGTGGTGAGAGTTTTTTCCTAAAGCAAAGGTACTTCGCCTGGCAAGAACTCATATTTCCCCAAATCTTCTTCACGCCAATTAGTCAATCTGGTTGGACTGTGAAGTTGAGCTTCCACAAATGGAATAAAACACGGTCACCACCCACCACCCACATCAGAGATCAAAGATGGGGTCCGTGTTGGCCCTGTGTGTTACCAGCCTGCCTTGGACACTGGTGCACCCTTTTTGCAAAAACAATCACCTTGCTGCGATATTTTCACGTTCTTTCTGTGTGTTCTCTCTCGAGACACCCAGTGTATTTCTAGCACTGACTGCGGTGAAGAGGTGGAAAGCCTCGTATCCGTCTTCAGTTTATTTATTTTCTATCTTTTATCAAAGTTCTTGGTTCCTGAGGTGTTTCCTATGTAGTTTTCTGTGAAACATATACATTTGTTTAGCTCATCCCCAGCAGTTTATGGTGGGAACAGAAAGGAGGAGCTACATCACCTGGTGACTTAGGAATGAGTGAAAAGACTTGAGTCAGGAGCTGGCTCTCTGTAGGGAGTCAGGGAAAGGGTCCGTGGTGTAAACTGCAGTTTCATCCCACTGAGGGTGCAGGCTCTAAGCTGAGGGGTGTGTGTGTGTGTGTGTGTGTGTGTGTATGTGTTGCTGGAAATTAAAAGCAGAGCTGTGACACAGGAAGCAAGCACTCCACCTCTGAGCTACACCCATAGCCCTCCTTTAACTCCTAGACACGGTTTCCCTTTGGTTACCCGGATGTAGTGTAACAGCGTAATTAAAGTATTTGTCTAATAAATCTAACATCTGGCTCTCTCAAGGACCATTTCAAGCAACCAGTGAGGCCACAAACATAAGCCATACTTTCATTTATTTCAAGTCTCACATAGCTTGATACATAGAGGAAGATAGAAGAAAAATTATCTCTTAGGTAATGAAATTTGGCAGTTCTGAAGAATAAAGCACCTCCATTCAAAGACTTACTGTTCTTGCTATCTTATTGTCCTTGATGGTGTGTGTTTGTTAGTTTAGCAGCTTTCCTGGGTAAACTCTGTAGAGCTGTCTCCCCTGTTACATGCCACTGACTGAACTCTCAGTAGGTTACCGGCCCGCTAATGACTGTGCAGAGGTTTTTAAACAATGCTTTGTTCTAGTAAGTGTCTACACCTTGCCAAGGAACTCTGTGGGGGCTGAGGCACCGTCAGTCAGTAGGCAGTTTACACGTATACCTTAGCCTTCATCTCCTTTTTACACAACTGGCCTCAAGTTCAGCCAGAATTGAGAAACTGGGGTGCTTCCAAGCCTTTCCTGGACGTGCACGAGTCTTATAGATCCTTAAGAATATATCAGAGATTTCCAAAATTCTCTACAAAATCTTATTTTCCAAAGACTCTTTTCAAGTTTTTGCCCCCCTCCCCAGTCTCAGTTTAAACGGTATAAACTGATCACATTTAACATTTGACAATGTGCTGTGGATAGGGGTTCCTCCATAAAGGCAGTCCCAGGTTGGCCTTCCTGGCCATTAATACCCGCCTTCTGTCAATGTCAGAGCTTCCGGAAATCCCCGGAACCCAAGCTGGCAAGACTCGAAAGCTGGGAGTGTTGATCTAATCCCTGCCATGTTCAGGGAATAGAACCCGTGGACCTGGGTGCCCAGAGTTCCTTGCAGCCCTTGCTGTAAGATCAGTGTGGTCAGGAAGGGTTGGACATCCCCAAGTGCCCTAGCCAGATTTGAGTGCCACCTCCTCCCATGGCGAAGGCGACAATCAATACAAAAACAAACTTTATTTTGCTGTCTCACAAACCAGCAGAGAAATCACCATGATACACGTCCCCGCTTCTGGAACTTCCACCAGACACAGACCGTTCCATCCCTTCATGTCCTCAGCTGTAACATCAGGGCTCAGGCTGCCCCTGCTACACTGGGGACGTCCCAAAGTGGCCGGAGAAATTTCTCTTTGCCACATCAACCTCTCCCAAACTTCCATCTGGGGAAAGAGTCACTGAGTCTCCCTCATGGGTAACAATGCTTGCTGATCCAAGATCAGGCGTGGTGGCCTAAGACTGCGTTTGCTGACCCACGTCCAGACAGAGGTTCTTCCTTTCGCAGGGGCCTGTCTCAGAACCAAGCCCCATCTACCACCCACTCGAGGATGCTCTCTCTTCAGGAGCCTTCTCCAGTCTTCAGTGAAGACTCCACAGCCACCTCCTCAATCTGCCAGCGGCACATGGGGCACCTAGCCGTGTCTTTGAAGATGTGCCAGGCACAGGCGCTGCAGAAGTGTGCGTGGCCACAGGGCATAAGGCGGGTGTTGGCGGTGTTGTGGAAGCAGATGACACACTCCTCTCCTGATGCAACTGGAAAAGGAGACAGCGTGGGTCAGGCGCACATACAGGGGAGGCCACCTACCTACGGATGCTCTTATCACAGGGCAGGAAAGTACAGTGGTTAGCTAGAGCAATGGCTCAGTTGGTAAAGTGCCTGCTTGGTCTGGGTTGAATCCCTAGAACCCACGGGAAATGTCAGGCAGTGCTGGGAAAGCAGAGACCAAAGAAGCCCTGGGACTTGCTGTCTAGCCAGCCTAGCCAGTCAGTGAGCTCCAGGTTCCGTGAGAGAACCTGTGTCAGAAACGAAGGTGGAGAACCATGGAGGAAAACACCTGAGATCTACCTCTGGACTCCACACACACATGCATACACAGACCAATGTGTACACACACACACACACACACACACACACACACACACACGGCTGGGGATATGGTTCCGTTGGTAGAGTTCTTGCTTAGCATGCACAAAGCCCTGGGTTTGGTTTCCAGCACTGACTAAGACCAGCAGTGATGGTGACAGCCAGGCAGTGGTGGCGCACACCTTTAATGCCAGCACTTGGCAGGCACAAGCAGGTAGATCTCTGTGAGTTCCAGGACAGCCTGGTCTACAAAGTAAGTTCCAGAATAGACAAGGCTACACAGAGGAAACCCTATCTCGAAAACCCAAACAAACAAACAAACAGTAGTGATAAAAATGGGGGGGGGGGGAAGGCCAGAAATTCAAGGTTATCTTCAGTCACGTGTAGTGAGTTCAAGGCCAGCCTGGACCACAGGAGACTTTGTGGCAGCCCTTCAACTGTAACTCCAGCTCCAGAGAATCTGGTTCCCTCTTATGACCTCCGAAGGCATCAGGCACATTCACGGCGTATAAATTTTTCTTTTAATTTTTTTAAAGAAAATATGAGAGCCAGACAGTGGTGGCGCACGCCTTTAATCCTAGCACTCAGGAGGCAGAGGCAGGTGGATCTCTGTGAGTTCCAGGTCAGCCTGGTCTATGAGAGCTAGTTCCAGGACAGTCAGGGCTACACAAAGAAACCTTGTCTTGAAACAAACAAACAAAATACAAAAAAAGAAAGAAGGAAAAAAAACCAAGATTAAACTAAGCTGTAATCCCAGCATTTGAGTGTTGAGTGAACCTGAGTCCAGATTCGGCCACCCGAGGCTGTTTCAGACAAAGGAATCATGAAAATCAGACAAAGTTTCAGACTCTTCTAATTTGGGAATGAGCTAAAAGGCAGAAACACCCCCTTGTTTCTGAATCTCTAGCTGTCAGTAAACTGTGGGAAGCCTCTCTGCGGTACCTAGAAAGCCGGCTTTGAACAGCTAGATTTCCCAGCCACTCCACTCGGTGCTGGGATCCCAGGACGTGTGCTCACCTTCAGACTCCGGCACAGCCTCCCCGCTGGTGATCCAGGCGTTGGCTTTGGGATCTAAGGCAGAAAGGCAGGTTCAGGGTCAGCACTCAGCACAGCAGCTCCAGAAATCCACGGGCACGCCTGCGTGCAGGCACCCTACCCTTCAGCAGCCACTCCCTTCCTCACTGCTGATCTCCCTGTCAATGTTAAGAACCCAACTGAGAACGCTCACGTCTTTTTTTTTTTTTTTTTTCCTTGCGTGGGGTGAACTTCTAGTTAAGCGTAAGGCCGCATCCAAATGCTTTCTCCTTTGTGAAACGCGACCAGCCTTCTAACATTATTTAGAGCACTGGTCATATCTTATCGTTTAGGACAAGGCTAAGGCGTGTGTCCATTTAGAGTCTCCCATGCCCATCTTTACATTAGGCAATGGGCTGATGGCCTAGTGAGCATGAAGGAACGAACGGCTCTACCAGGGCCTCTAGGCATGGAAATTCTGTCTCCATGCCTCACACACACTCCGGAACCTCAAGGATTGTCTCACCCAGCAACTCAATGGCTTTCGTGGTCCCGTACACATCCATCACCGCCCAGAGCGGGGCGCCCTGGACCAGTACGTCTTTGCGCAGCACGAGGGGGCGGCCAGCGTTGACCTTGGCGTAGAGCCAGCCTCTCCGGTTCACCCAGAAGCAGACCACATTCCCCGCACGAACAAAGCCCTCTGGAAGCAGCGCTGCCCACGTGGGACTCTGTTCTTCTAGATCCGGGCACACAAAGGGCGGCAAGCAGGACGCAGCCACGTGTGCAGGGTCGAGGCGTGTGAAGCCCACGCGGAGGCCACCGCACCAGCCTGTCTCTTGTCGCAGCACGCGCAGCGCAACACGCTCACCGGGCCACACTGGCCGCTGGCTGAACACGATGCCATCGTGGAACGTAGAGCGCCTATGCGCTGTGCTCCGTAGGTCATCCAGATGCACCTGTGCGCCGGTGGCATCCCCGTGGAAACTAAGGGCCTCGCGGGGCACCTCAGCGTCTGTAGGGCAGAGCAGGTAGCCTATCAGTGAGGGCCCATTCTAACCTACCCGCTTCCCAGAAAATGACCAGCGTCCTAGGCTACCCGGGCCTTCTCCTGAGGACCACTTCAACAGCCCCAAGTTCCCTGGAGTCACCTCCACACCCCCAAACAACCTCAAGCCTCACCTGGCAAACCTCAAGGATCTGCTAAAAGTCCGAAGGGCAGCACACTCTACCTCCCTGGGTCTGTTAACCTCCCCTGTCCCCAGCCTCAGCCGCCTCTTCTGCCTGGCATGAAAATTAAAAGAACCTCTATCTAAACCTTGTCTAAACTCAGCCCTGAACCATGGTTATTACTGGGATTGAACAGAAAAAGCAGCTTCTTGGTGTGGTGGTGCCGTAATTCCAGCCCTGGGGAGGTATAAGCAAGTTCCAGGCCTGCCTGGGCTATATAAGTGGTTCCAGGCCAAGCCAGCCTGGGCTACATAGACAGGGAACTATTGTTAAACAAAATGAAACCAGACAGTTAGGCATATGAACTTAGATGAGGTTTATTGGGTCTTGTTGTTTGTTTGGTTGGTTGGTTAGTTGGTTGGCTGGTTTTTGGTTTTTCAAGACAGGGTTTCTCTGAATAAAGAGTCCTGGCTGTCCCGGCACCTGCTCTGTAGACCAGGCTGGCCTCGAACTCACAGAGACTCACCTGCCTCTGCCTCCCAAGTGCTGGGATTAAAGGCGTGCGCCACCACTGCCCAGTTGAGGCTTATTGTTTGTTTCGTACTCTTACTTCTTTATTGGGTGCCAGGATGTATGCATGGGTGGAGGTCAGAGGACAACTTGCAGAAATCAGTTCTCTCCTTCTACCCTGTAGGTTCGGGGGGATTAAACTACAGTTGTTCAGCTTGTTGGCAAGCACCATTACTTGCTGAGCCCCTAGATGAGATGTAACACTCATGTATTCTCACCTACCTAGCCTGAAAGAGCGAAACTGGCTTGCTGACTTGTGCATGCCCTGGCAGGTGGCCCACAATGGCCGTGCCTTCCTCTCTGCTTTGCTAACCTCCTTTCCCCACAGGTAAGCTGTATCAATGTCCCCTCTACCCCGCAAGGTGACTTCCTGGTCCTGGGAGAGGAGGGAACACAGCAGTTTCCCACAGGACAGGGGAACAAGTTGAAAAGGGTCTGCGGAGATGCCTATGATCAGCCAAGGCCTGAAGTGGGCTTCAGAACTAAGGGACTTCTTACACAAAGGTACTTAGCAGTCAGGAGGAAAAGGTCCCTGCGGGGCAGCCCCTCTTCCCAGCCCTGGCTTCAAGAGAGCAGGAGCTGATCTGCTCCCAGAGACCTGCCTTGCCTCTTTAAGTGGGGGTGAAGAGAGGAAGTCAGCTGACTGTTGGCTGAAAAAGAAAGATGAACTCCATCTGAACTTGAGCCAGGTCCAGGAGAGTCCCCATCCCCCACCAGCTGATTGTCTCCTGTTCCGCTTACAGACCACAGGTCTGTTTGCAGAGCCAGACATAGGACTGAGGGTTCCTGGTGCTGCCGCCAGAGCCCACCCTGTCACTCGGGTGGGTCACAGCCACCATTCATGTGAGGGACCCAAGAGAAGACCAGAGATAGGCTTGGTAAGGGACCATTCCAAGTGGATGCTGGAGACAGTCACCTGCCACCCTGCTGCTGGAAGAAGCCAGATGCGCTCTCCTGAGAGCCCCAAGCTACAACCTTGGTCCATCACAAGAGCAGAAATAGAGCTAAGTGGGACCTTCAGCCTCATCCACTACAGCCTCGGTGGAAACGACTCTCATCCTCCTTGGGTCTGAGAACTTTGAACTGCTCATCTATAATGGTGGCGAGTCCTCCCTGGTGGTGGGTGGCCTCTGGGAGATGCCAGGGTCCCTTGGCACCCCAGGAAAGGAAAGCCTTGACCTGGTTGCCAGCTCGAGTGGGCAAAGCTCCACTGTAACTCAGGAGACTCCTCAGTGGCCTGCGAGAGTTACGTTCCCAGGTCCTATGTTACAGGGGAAACTGAGGGATCACACTGCTGCCTCCACCGGTCGCTAGGTGACCAGAGCCTCTAGGACCACCTTCTCTCAACTGCAAGCTGAGGTCTTGTATCCTTACCTTCAGTAGCCTCTGGGCAACTCCCTGAGTGTGGCTCTCAGGAGGTGTCACAACAGGCACAAGATAAGGGGCCTCTTGAGCTTGGTCTCTCTACACTTACTCTCTCAGATGGCTTGTGTTGGTTTATCACTGAGCATAACCCAGGCTGAGTAGGGATGAAAGCCACCCTCACCCAGCAAGTCTATCAAAGGCCTTCAGGACTTTGTCCCCAATAGGAGCCCCACCTTTCCTTTACAATGAGTTTTGCTTCCTGACTTTAGAGCCGGGTCACAGTGGCACTAAATGGGGGGGAGGGGAGGACACCATCTCCATTCTGTCTTGTTCCGTTCGCAGAGCCTTGCAGAAATTCTCCCACCCATTGACTAAGCAAACTGACAGATCTCACTGCTGGACTGAGGAGAAGCAGAGGTGGGCATAAGCTAAACACAACTCTCTAATTGGGTCTGTTGCAGTTGGCAGGGCTGGCACGGGGTTCAGAGCACTGTCCACTGAAGGGTTGCCGTTTTTGTGCTGAGCCCCACTTTCAGGTCAGATCCTGAGGCTCCATGGAACAGAGTTAAGTGGAGGACCCCCTTCAAGGACTCCACCTTTGGTTTCCCCACTGCTGTAGGGAAGGGGCATTGCTGGCTTGAACCTGGACTGCTAAGACATTTGGGACAAACAAGTCGTGTCCTTAGGGTCATCCCTGGACAGATGAAGGCAAGCTCCATGATGGCCTCCCAACTGTCAGCATCTTTATCACCACTCCTCCAGCCACCAAGGCTTTTGGGGTGTCAGGCACCCACTCAGCCCCATTGCAGCCTCTTATTCTACTCTCTACACCCTGTATAGAAGCACTCAGAGCTTGTGGGAGACGGGGGAGAGTCTTAGGAAAGGTCCCTTCCAATCCTCCCAGCACCAAGGAAACTGTGGACTTGGCTGCACACACACACACACACACACACACACACACACACACACACACACACCTGCACCTGTTACCCGACATCCCTTTTGGCATTGGTGCCCTGCCTTGAATCCAAACATAGCTGCCACAGCAGAGGTGGCTCAGGGTGTGGCCATCCACTGTGAGTGAGCCTTGGGTGCTCGCCATAGGGCCCTAAGCAGGGGTTCTGCTGTGCTTGTGCATCTCCAGGGTGCCTGGTCCCAGACTCTGTGCTAAGAGCTGGCATGCTATCTCCTGCCCACTCACCCAGGTCCTTCCACTACGGGACACTGTGACCACAGGTACAGGTAAGTGTCTCAGAGAAACTTTCTATCTCATTACTATTTAGACTTCGGTATTTGGAGCCCTAAAGGCCATCAGGGTGGGTGGCATTATTCCCAACCTTCAGATGATAAAAAAACCAAGGGCCCAGAGTCAAAATGACTTGCCCCTGGTGCCATCTCTAATTTGGAAAAGCCGAAATCCGTCATCTTCTACCTTCAGCCCTCTAAATTCTACCCTTCTACCCACCCCGGTCCTGTTTCTCTCTTTGTAGCCAAGTCTTAGATGAACACTGGTTACAGACAATGGGGGAAGGAGGGGTGTTTATCTCTGCAACCATCCCGGACCTGAGTCACCCAACCTCTCCTTGGTTCCTGGGAAGCCGGAAAGTCACTCCCTCGCGCACGCCAGACCTTGACAGAAACCTACTCTAGCTGGCAATGACCTCAAGGTCTCCGTTCTCCCCCTTCCAGACTTCCCACCTGGACTCCTTGTGGTCCGGCCTCCAGAAGCAAGCTCAAGGCATACAGGAAGTCTACTTACTGGCCTCAGGGCTGAGGCGGGCACCCATTCGCTTGGGCTCCTCCTGAGAGACAAGTCCTTGTGTCTGGAGATGTCTGTGAAGGCCAGTGGTCAGGTTTACAAGACTCTGAAGGTTCCCCTTTTATAGGCTGGAGATCACGTTACAGGGTTGATGATTAATTAGATGCTGTCACGCATGACGATATCCGGGACTTTCCCCATGATGTCTCCTGGCTCACAGTAGACCTACTGCAGGAGGCTGGCCTGAGAAAAGGAAGCAGGGACTGTGACTGTGGCTGCAGCATAGAGTTCTTCCTCTCTGCCTTCTGATCAGCCCTCGCCTGTGAATGAGAACTGCCACACAGCCTGTTAGTAAACATCTGTGCTCACCCCGAGCTCCCTGCAAGAACGCTGGTGCCCCTGGCCTAGGGTGAGACCTGCGCATCGGAAGTTTCAAAGAGTATGCAGCCAGTATGGCTCACCATGGCAACCCCATATACAGAAGGCGCACAGCACTACTGAAGCAGGTTAAATTGAATGAGTTAAATCTGAAACCTGTGCCGTTGAGCCTGCCCGGTGGCAGGGACGGTTTGGAGGCTTATAAATACTCTGCACCCCTGCCGCCCCCAACAGCAGCAGCCACCGCCTAAGTCCTTCTTGAGACTCCAGATCAAGGCTACAATCAGTGGCTTCTTTGGACCCTTACAGAAATGAATAGTGCCAGGAGGTAGTGGCACTATTTGAACCTTTAAATTAAAGGTGCTGGCACTTTTAATCCCAGCACTGGGGAGGCAGAAGCAGGCACAGCCCTGTGAGTTTGAGGCCAGTACAAATGTATTAATGTACAGAGTGAGTTTCAGAACAGCCAGGGCTACACAGAGAAGAGCTGTCTCGAAAAAACAAAAAAACAAAAGCAAAAACAAAACAAAACAAAAAACAAGAAAGAGAGAAAGAAAGGAAAACTGGGTAGATGAATAGTCCTCAGCACATCCCTGGGGCACCTGAAATGGCAGTGTCCTCTTCTGAGGAGGGAGATGGAGAGTTGGAGACCCAAGTTGTACCTGCGGTGTTCCCTTAGGCAGATACCTCCCTCACCTTTAGCTCTGGTGTTCCCATGTTATAAAACAGGGAACTAGTGGTCTCGGGACCTCTTCCAGTCAACATGCTGTGCCTAAGTAAGAAGAAGTGGTGAGAGGAAGGTGGGGGACATCGCTGTAACCCCTGGACTTTTCTTCTTCCTGCCCCGCCCTTACTGAGTGCCCTTTGTCTCTGCGCTCCCTGTATTACTTCTGCCAAGGGCAGCTGTGCAAGAGCAAGACCAAATCCCTTGAGTCAGAGGCCTGTGGATCCTAAGAGCTGCAGTTGACCCAATGCCCTGACTGGCCCGGTCTGAGAGGCTCAGGCTCCTGGCACCTCCTGGCAGGCTGGTTGCTCTCCCCTCGCTGGACTTCACCTGTGGTATCGGCCACCTTGAGTGGCCGCCCAGGGCTGGAACCAAAAACTCCTTCTTGATAAACCTCATTCCCCCACCACAGGTCTGTGCGGCACCTTATCAAGGGACCTGTTCTGGAACTTTAGACTTTATAGAAAAATCACTGGGTTATCGTACACCTGTAGGCAGGTGGTGGGGCCGCACGGGCAGGACCTGTAGCCTGCTCAGGGCAGCAGCCAGCAGATGGAAAAGACAGGCAAGCCCAGACACCCACATACTCCACTGGTGGGGTGCAGGACATCCGTTCTAAACAAGCTGCCTACATTTGGGAAGTAGCAGAAACAGGAAGGTCCCTCTCTTTTACCCCGCCTTTCTCCCACGAAGCCACCCCTGAGCCCCTCACACTCTGCTTACCACTGACCTCAGGGCAGGGGAGAACCTGAACGTCCTGCTCTTGCTAGGCCCCGCCCAGCTCATCACCATTTGTCCACACCCACCTTTGCCCCAGTATCCTTCACTATAGTAGTGTTTATAGCTACTCTTGGGTTCAACTTCAAACCAGCGTACACACATGCAGACTTCCCCCTTCATTGGGTCTTTTTTGAAACAAGTTCCCATATGACCTAGCCTTGCCTGAACTCACCACATAGCTGAAAATAACCTAAGACTCACAATCCTCCTGCCTCTGCTTTCCAATGCTAGGGGTCTAAACTGGGACTTAGAGGCCGGTGAGATGGCTTCTGGGTAAAGACGTGTGCTGCCTACCCTGGCCACCCAAATTCAATCCCAGGGACCCACGTGGTGTTTAGAATGAACTGACTGCCACAAATTGTCCTCTGACCATCACACATGTGTCACGGCATGTGTATATCCACTCCCACAAAAACCAATTAATTTAATTTAAAAAATAACATACATACACACACGCATACACATGCATGTACACCCCAGGGCTTCATGCTTACTAGGCAAGGCCACCTTACCAACTTAGCTGCATTCCCAGACCTGTGTTCTCATTTTTCTTCTATTTTTATTCTTTGACAATTTCATACACGTATATAGTGTATTTTTTGATCTTAAGTTTTGTTTTTATTATGTATATTGTATGTTTCTGTATGTAGCTACACACACCTGAACATGAGTGTCCTTAGAGTCCAGAAGCTTTGGATCGGCCTGGAGCAGGATTTACAGGTGGTTGTGAGCCCTAATGATTCTGGTCCTCTGGAAGATCAGTAAGCCCATGTATGATATATTTTCATTATCATCGTCCCGTCCTTCTCTTGTCCCTTCCCACTCCATCTGGACCCTTTCTTCTTCTTCTTTTCTTATTTTTTTTTTTTTGTGTTGTTGTTGTTGTTTTTCGAGGCAGGTTTTCTCTGTAGCTTTGGAACCTGTCCTGGAACTCAGTCTGCAGGTTAGGCTGGCCTTGAACTCACAGAGATCTGCCTGTCTCTGGGATTAAAGGCACACACCGCCACCACCCGGCTGAACCCTTTCTTCTTCCCAACAAGTCCCTTTCCAACTTCTGCACCTTTTTTTTATGACCCACTGAGTTTAATTAAGCTTGCCTGCAGACATATGCCTGGGTGTGGGGTTACTGAATGGATTGCGGGCAACTTTCCAGCAATCACGCTCTAGGTGAAGATGACCCCCTCCCTCAGCAGGCAGTAATTACCAAGAACCCCTCAGCTTGGGGTGGATCCTTGTATGTCCCTCCTCCACCGGGGTTTCTATTTCTGGGAGGCTCCAGGTATCATAAAACTTTACACAGCATACTAAATTCTTGTACTTTACCATGGAGGTGCCCACTAACTCTTTGTTCCAGCTGAGTTGTGCAATCGGCTGAGGTGCCCATCCAGCAACCGATGAGGGCAATGCGTGCAATGCAGTGCAGTGTTATCCAGCCATAAAGAATAGAGTTATGCCACTTGCAGGTCAGAACTGAAGATTATGTGGCGTGGAATAGGCCAGGCTCAGAAGGACAAATGTCACCAGTTTTCCCTCCTATACAGAATACAAATTTTAAAAGGTAAAGCATGTACTGGTAGGAGATGTGGCTCGGTGATGCAGGGCTTGCCCGGCATGCGTGAGGTCCTGGGTTCGATCCCTGGGAGTGGCAAAAGAAGGAAGGGAGACTTGAAAGCACAAGGGACTCTTTGCGAGTGGACTTTTGTCGACTTGAGACAGATTTCAGTCCTTACCCCAGGCGGATTTGGAATTCACAGTAATCTTCCTGCCTCAGGCTCCAAAGATCTGGGATCGGAGGTGTGAGCCACCACAAGCAGCTAGAGGGGACTAGAGAAGAGAACAGGAGAAGGCAATGGGAGTTAAATATGATTAAAGCATGTTACAAATGTGTGTGAAAACGGCGGGATGAAGCCATTGTTTTGTACGGCAAATATGTAATCGTAAGAAATGCGTGTTCCTCTTCTTGTCGGGCTGTCTCATGTAGCCAGGGGCCTAGCCATAAACCCTGTGAAGGGAAGGACAGAGGATGCTCGCCCAGACATTGCTGTTCTGAGTCTAGTATTGTACTAAGCTGACAGTTCTTGGGGGTGGGGGGGAGTCCTCAGAAAGGGTCTATCCGGAACCACTCCCAGTTCACAGAAGGGGAAACAGAGGCACAAGGAGCATCAACAGTTCCTGGAAGAGGCTCGGTGGGTAAAGGTGCTTGTTTGCCGCATGACCCTGGCAAACTGAGCTCAATCTCCAGAACCCCCACTAAGGTAGAAGGAGAGGACCAAGTCCACAAATTGTCCTCTGACCCACACACCCATACACATAGATTGTGTGCGTTCACACAGACTAATTTAAAAAAAAACAAAACTGAGTTCAAAGTCTTCCTTGAACAAATAGTAAGTGTGAGGTTAGCTTGGGCTACATCAGACCCTGTCCTGAAAAAAAGACTTCTGTCGTGTGGCTGTGCCTTCTTTAGTGGTTCCTCACTGGCTCTTTATCGGTATTCAGTTAACTAGGTTGACACATAGTAGGAGTTTTACAAATAGCAACTCATAGGCCACCCGAGTGCCCTATGTGCCCCCATTCCAGCAAAGCTGGTGCCTGGGAAGGGGTGCTCCCAGGACCAGACAACCTCTGTGCTACAAGGTAAAACAGGCCATCCTAAAGAACTGTGGCAGTGACTGGGGCGGCCTCTGCTGGCGAGAGTCAATATTGCAGAATGCACTGAGGCCTCGTGAACCAACAAGCCCAGCATGAGGCCAGCAATTGCCAGAGCACCTTCTGGGGCTTCCACACATCTTCCAGCCACCCTGAAGCTCCCCGAGACACTCTTCCTACTCAGGGCCAGCTTGTCACCTCGTTGAACCTTCTGGTGGCAGTCAGCCTTCAACTTGTCCGGTCCCTTTCATTACCAAGTGCTCTTGTGTGGACCACCTCATAGAGATCTCCTTTTCTGAGGAGGAGATGGGGGCCAGACTAGCCTGTGATCCAGCAGAGGCAGGAGCCCTGCACGAACTGGGACTCCTTTGGACCCAGCCATCAACATCCTAGACCCCTACATTATTACATAATACGGCGGAAGTCTGCAGTGCCAGAACGCTAGTTCCTCATACAACCAAAGTCATGGAATAGTGACTTTGAATTGAAGAAGTGAATAGCAAATTTGCCAGGTGCAAACAGAGCGGTATCATAGCCTCTTTGCCCATCTGGTGACCTATCAAGAGATTGGGAGGGTAAAGGTGTTTGCGACCATGCTTGCTGACTCGAATCTAATCCCGGGACTCACACGATGGAAGAAGAGAAAACAGCTTTCACAAATTCTCCTCTGGATGCCATATGTGCACGGTAGCAACACCCTGGCACACACACACACAAATGTAAAATCTGCCCATCTGCAGCCTTGGCATGGCGGTGCATGCCTGTAATCCCAGAGGCAGGGGGATCATGAGCACAAAATCATTACTGGCCTTGTAACCAAAAGGGTGAGAAATTTCACCTTCAGAGAACATGTACAGACCTGTCATTGTTCCCTAAGCAATACGGCCTAACAACTATTTGCGCAGCATTTCCATAGCATTGGGTGTTCCAAAGCAATCACAGATGGTGTAAAGTTTACCTTTCTCCTCCAGGATGCATTCATAGGTTGAACATTAACATACATAGGTTGAGTTTAAGAACTCGGGCTAGGGATATGCTGAGTCCACTGGTGAAGTGCTTGGCTAGCATGCGCAAAACCCCTAGCAAGGCATAAACCAGACATGATGGCATGTACCTGTGAACCTAGGACTAGGGAAGTGGACACAGGAGGCTGTGTCCAAGGGCATCCTGAGCTACACAAACAAGGTTTGATTTTTGGGGTTTTTTTTTGGGGGGGGTGTTTTGGTTTGGTTTTTTTGTTTTTTGTTTTTGTTTGTTTGTTTTTCAAGACAGGGTTTCTCTGTAGCTTTAGAGTCTGTCCTGCTGAAACTCACTCTTGTAGACCAGGCTGACCTCAAACTCACACCTGCTTCTGCCTCCCGAGTGCTGGGATTAAAAGTGTGAGCCACCACCGCCCGGCTCTACACACCAAGTTTGAGGCCAGCCTGGGCTACAGGAGATTTTGTTTTAAAAAAAAAAAAAAGCTGTAAGTAATGGCCATTGTTGAACACCGAGATTTTGGCATCCGCAGGGGTCCTAGAATTAGTCTCCATAGAGACCAAGGGATCACTGTACTATTGTACAAAATACTGTTTATCACCTCAAGACTGTGAGGTAGATGTCAGGAAAGATCCAGAATATTCATGAACAAATGACTGCATGTGTATATACTGCTACACACACACACCACACACACACACACACACACACACACACACACATTTCCATTCACAAAAAGTTTAGATGTAAAAGTCAGGAGTGGGCTTTTCTCGAGTGTAGGACTGGAGAAGAACCCCGAAGAACTAGGGTGGCTGTTATATATCTGTGTGCACAGACAGAAAGCGCCGTCACTTGGATTTTCAAAGGGCACATAATCTAAATCTACCTAGATTTACTTCCATCCTGAAACTTCTGAATGAGCTCCGGGGAGCCCGTGAACGGCTTGGTCAGCTCTGCCCCCTGGTGGAGACAAGAAGGAGTCTGGGAAATCCTGTCACCAAGATTCGAAAGGTTCCCAGGCACCGGGTCTCAGTCACCAGCTCAACTTGTCCCATGGGCATTCTAACAACTCTGGGGGGCCACTGAGTCCTCCGAGTCAATAGCCGAAGTCCCCAGGCATGTGTCAGTCAGCTGTTACTGGCAGTAGGGCCCAGAAGTGGTAGACCAGAGCTTGCTGACACAGTAGCCAGCCACAAGGCTAGAGAAAGGCTCAGCAGGGCAGAGCGAGGATCTGGGTTCGGTTCTCAGCGCCCCTAGGGCAGCTCACTACCATCTGTAACTCCAGTTCCAGGAGATCCAGCACCCTCTTCTGGACTCCCTGGTTACCAAGGACACACGCAGTACACAGACATGCAAGCAAAACATTCATGTGTGTAAAATTACAAAATAAATCTTTATTTTAAAAAGTAGCCAGCTGTTTGTGAGGCCATGCAGGTGTTCCCCCTCCCACCACCCCAGAGAGAGAGAGAGAGAGAGAGAGAGAGAGAGAGAGACACTTATAAAGCACCTACCGTGCCCCAAATGTTGTCTTAATTCTGCGTAACCAAAGGTTAAGGAAAACTCAATTATTGTCCATTACCACTCAGGTAAGTCTTGGTATTTAGGTAAGTACTACAAAATGATCACACTGAGGGCCACAAGGGTTGTTATGTCCAGGGAATGGGTGGTGTGGTGGCTTGAACGAGGCGGCCCCCACAGACTCATAGGTTTGATACTTGGTCCCTAGTTCATAGTGGAGCTGTTTGGCGGAAGGATTAGGAAGTGTGGCCTCGTTGGAGAAAGTGCAGCCAGGCTGGAGCAGGTATGTTATTGGGGTTGGGCTTGAAGGTTTTAAACGCCCCCCCCCCATCATTCCAGTTAGCTCTCTTTCTCTCCCCTGCCTCTGACTTGTAGATAAGATCTAAGCGCTGCTCCAGCACCAGGCCTGCCTGCTGCCCGCTCCCCTCCACGATGGTCGTAGACTCACCCTCCGCAATTGTAAGCAAGCCCTCAATTAAATGCTTTCCTTGGTCATGGTGTCGGCATCTTCACAGTAATAGATCCGTAACTAAGACAGGTGGTAGAAGTTTAGAGGTGGAACGGGTATAGAATTGAGCCCTGAAGGAGACTTGAGGTCTCAACAAGAGGAAACAAAAGAAAGGCATTCTGGGAAGAAGAGAAAGCATGTGCCAAGTCACAGAGACACAGTCATGCCTGGGGCTGCATTCCTGTCTGTTGGAATTGGCAGTACTTGCATAGAATAAGCTGAAAGAATGAGATTTTTTAGATACCCATTTATTTTTCACATAAAATAAGTTGAACGCAGTCATCCAGGTAGCAGCAAGAGCTACAGTCTCGGAGGTGCTGGACTGCCTTCTGCTACAGCTGCTCACATCGGTCACTTTGTGAACCCAAAGAGCTGCTGGCCTTTGCCCATTGCCAAACCTCTTGTTGGTCATTGCCTCCATGCTTCAACCATGAATCCCTAGACACCACATCCACCATAGCAGAACTAGGAGTGACCTAACGCTTTCCAATATGACCAGCTTTTATTTTTTTAAATATTTTATTTATTTATTATATATACAACATTCCTTCCATGTGTGCCTGCAAGCCAGAAGAGGGCACCAGATCTCATTATAAATGGCTGGGAGTCACCATGTGGTTGCTGGGAATTGAACTCAGGACCTCTGGAAGAGCAGCCAGTGCTCTTAACCATTGAGCCATCTCTCCAGCCCCTAGGGCCAGCTTTCAGATGCACCAAAACCTCCTAACAGTACCACCCTGGAAGCATGTCTTAGCGCATGAACCAATGGGGGACAGGTGGAGACCAAACTATAGCCTGAGAAATAATTAGACTTATTGCAAACAGCTTTGCATATTACTAGAAGCCATAAAATAGTAAATAAAATTTTGTTTGCTTGTTTGTTTTTCGACAGGGTTTCTTTAGGTAGCCCTGGCTGTCCTGGAACTCACTACATAGATCAGGCTGGCATTGAGCTGACAGAGATCCTACAGCCTCTCTGCCCACGAGTGCTGGGATTAAAAGTGAGCACCACCACAATCAGATGTGTGTGTGTGTGTGTGTGTGTGTGTGTGTGTGTGTGTGTGTGTGT